CATCGAATCTACCTAATATACAGGTGGATCTTTCAATCGAAGGTGCTACTGCAGTGATAATGCAAGAAAATTGGGAACGTTATTTTGTTCTCGACAAAAATAAATATTTTTTTGCTATTTACTATAAATATTGTATTTATAGGGAGGTCTCTACCCTTAATTAATTTAGAATTTTTGCGATTCCGGAGTTCAAACAACACCTACTTGAGTTTATCGACATGGATTTACACTACGGTTAGACAGGCATTCATTAATAGTCCAAGTTTTCTGGGATCATTTTGAATGAAAGAAAGCAATCTTACATTACTATTTTTAGAATTTTCGAATTCATAGTAGCACCTACATACAACATGTGCTTCATCCTGTCGATATATTACAGCTTTGCTAGATACTTGTTGGTAGTTCGAATGAAAGTAACTTGCTAACCTTATTAACCCTTTTATCATGGACATTTGATACAATTAATTCAACGTACAAGAAATTGGACAGACTACCCGAGAGATATGATGATTCTTAACGAATTGAATAATTTATCACGATGAATTTATTTACCCAGCTGGAAATCGGCCAAGAATAATTGGTAACAAACATGACGCAAATTGGAATAACGTTCTTCTTGTTCCACTATGTACTCAAATTTTAACAGGAACTAATGTTACGAGCGAAATAGCCGATAATGGATTAAAACAAATTTTGCATTAACTTTGAAAATCAATAATTCAGGACCAGGCAAGATACGTACGTACTACTGGTAATGATGAAATCAACCCTGGAAAATATCTATCACAACCACAATTGAAAACAAGTTAGATGGTAATTCATTGGAAAAAAAAATAGATGAAATGAAAACGCAGGGGAAACATATGGTAATTGATTTAATTGGTACTGATGATAATCAAATAAAAGAAAATCGAAATCGAAATCGAAATCGAAATCGAAATATATCTAATGATTCGATTGAAGCATCTAGATCGAAACAAATCAGAAACAGCAGCTACAAATCTATGCTTACCATTGGATCGGAAAATTTACAAATAAGCCGGGAAATGGTAGGTTATGCACGAAACAGCTAAAGTAGCAACAAGAGCGGTTTTAGAATTGAAACATCACATTGTACAGTGACAAAAGAATGCCACGAAGAATATCGAGAGGATTAATTCAATATGTCGAAACATTATGAATTGACAGAGACATTGAGATAAAAGCGAACTAATAATAAATCTTCACCGAATCGTAACTGGCAGAATGTAATGTAACTAGCTGTGTCAGGAGTAGAGGTTGGAATCGTCCAAAAAATCCTTAGTCGACTACTAGTTGGTCAAAATTTCTTTTAGTCGACTAAAATTTTTTTAATACTAGCGTGTAACCATTTGCTTCGCAAAATGGTCACACTAGTCATGGGAATAACATCCTATTTAATTAGAATATTCATTCTGTTTCATTATTATTAACGTTTTATTTTAATTTGCAGATTACAAATTCATCTCCATTTGAATCTTTAATTTTCTCGAAATACTTCCATACGAAGCTATATGTTATAATTCGTTTTTTTAAAGGTCTGGAGCCACTGCTTGAGCTCGAAGCCAACGAATTGTTGGAATGATTTGACCTTGTATCAATGTTTATTATTTCGCATGGATAATTATCGCCAACACCAGCACCAACACCACCATTATCATCTTCTTCATAATATTGATACTCCGCATATTTATTTTTATTATTAAAATTTTTTTGTGCCACAAAAAACGTTTTCATTTATAAATTGGCCAGACAATAATAATAATTAGTATTAGTCAACTATTTTAGTCGATTCCAACCTCTAGCAAGAACAATTACCCTCAACTGACTCAACCAATTATTTATTATTAGGAGAAATAATAGTGGTAGAAATAGGAGTTTTTGTCTATTTGATAAGAAGAAAAAAATCAAGCAAAGTACGGACTTAATAATATTAATTTTGGTCATGTGAAACTGTTCTTTCTTTTGCAGTGTTAATTGCACATGTTTATTACACCAATAATTAAAAAATAAGTTTATTTTTCTTCAAACTTCTTTTCTTTCTAGGTTCATCATGTCTCCACATTGATGTTCTTTTATTAGTTATGATTTTTCTTTCTCTTGGTAAATTTCATAAGTAACCCTTTCTTTTCTAGATAAGCTTCAAGTGTCTGAGTATCATTTATACATTTATTTTGGAAATGTAAGAAGCATTTTTTTCACCTTGTTCTTTCTTCAAAATACTTCTAATGGTGCTATAATTTCATCGACACCCATTTCGTCGAAAGTTTGTTTCATCGAAAGTTCATTTCGTCGAATGTTCGTTTCGTCGAATGTTCATCTCGTCGAATGTTTGTTTCATCGAATGTTCATTTCGTCGAATGTTTATTTTGTCGAAAATTATTTCATCCTCGAGCCAGAGACCGAACGAGTTAGATGTGAGGAAAGTGGGGGTGTGTGTGGGAAGTGTGAGGAGAAATTTGTTTAATGAAGTTTTTTTTTTGTGATGAAATAATTTTCGACGAAATGAACTTTCGATGAAATGAATCCTTTACAAAAAAGAGTATTTATATTATAATAATAATAATAATAATATGAATTGAGAAGCCCTGCAATATATTAATAAATCAACACATTTTTCATAAATTTTTTATAACTTTCCTGTAAACTCTATAATTTTCTGTAAACTTACTATAACATTCTTGTAATAATATCAATATTTTTTCTGTAAACTACTATAACATCCTTGTAGTGATATCAATATCTTTTCTGTAGTCTCATAATTTTTTGTGAATTTATCTGTAAATATTCTGTGAAAAGTATACAAGGAAGTTGCATTTTTCTGTAACATATTTCCGTAAAATTTTTTAATAATAAATTTTCTTGTAAATTTTTTTTCATGGGGTATTACCATTTTAAAAAAAAAAATGTTCCTCCTGTATATATCAAGAAAGAATCTATCCATTCCACGATTTTTAACAAGTCTTAAACCTTGTTTAGTTGAAACAAAAAAACATTTTACAACGTTGGATCGTTTTGTGGAATTAACAGACATCCCAACCTTGTCTCAAGTATATAAAAAAGGTGGATTTGATTGTCGAATCCCAGGAACTTTTAAACGTGAAAAAATTTTTTTTTTATATTATTGTGGAATAATTATCGTTTTCTTTAATAAAAAAAAATAATGTACATTATATTTCAGATGATATAAGTCTTTCTCACAATAAAACTCTTAATGATAAGATATCTTTAATGTAAGTCGATCAATAATAATAAAAACCCTATAAAGAAAACTTATCAAGCTTTTATATTTATACTTTAAAAAAATTTTATATATAAAAGCAAAGAAGACATTACGAAATTGAAAATTGACTCAATTGGTTAGTGATTAGAAAATATGACCATATACCTATGTTTATTGATTTAATCAATAACATATTAATTGTTATTAACAATACCTGAACAACATTATAAAGAATATTTTACACTTTGTTTACATTTGATATGTAAAAAGCTCACTGATGACTTTTAAAAATTTTTTTAATAACTTTACAATATATGAATAGTTAATGCTGCAAATGAGTTTCTCATGGGAGGAGGAGGAGGTAAGGGATTGAGAAAATTCATCATAATTAAATATATGAATATATTTCCAAGGCACTGACTGATTAAATGAATAATAATTTTTTTTAGTTGATGGAGCAATTCACAGGTGAACACTCAATTATAATATTTATTTTTAAAAACTTTATGTTATCATTAAAACGTTTCTCAGATAAGAGATGAAAATTTAGAGCTGCAGGGCCAGGATTAAGGAGTGAATGTCAGAAGTTAGGAGGTTGTCCAACTGGTGTATGTAAGATTTAAATATTTAATATTAAAAGTATTTATAAGGTTTAGAAATTAACATTTTAAATGATAATTAATAATTAATAGGATGCTAAAATAACAAAAGGTAAATAATTAATTAATTGATATATATATTTATAGGATAATTCATCTTATCTTACATGCACATGTATCTTTAGGTTATAATTTACCAGCAAAATGTATGTGTAGCTATTTAGATTGAAAATAACTGAAATTCTGAAGTTATTCTATGATCCTATTTAATTATTCTACTAATTTAATGTTTAATTATTTAGATATTATTCATACTGTTGGGCCTGTAGGAGAACATGAAGAACTTCTCAATAGTGCTTATAGACAATCATTGAAAGTTATGATTGTCAACAATCTTAAGAGTATAGTAAGTTTTAAAATCACCATCATTCTTCATACTATTCAATCTACTAATAATACATTATATTAATATGTGTATGATTTAAAATTTAGGCATTTCCAAATATAAGCACAGGTTTGTTAAGTTGATACAAGTTTTTAATGTTTTATTTAATAAAGTTGGGTCATATTTATAAGAAAATTTATTAAATATTGTGTTAGGTGCTTATGGATATCCTCGTGTTGGTGCTGCACAAGTGGCTATGAAAACAATTAGAAAATGGATGGAGGATTTTGAACATATTGAAAAGGTATAAATAATAACTCAGAATTTAATGAACTTTTTTTTTTGAAACTAGGATAAAAATTAACCAAGCTAGATATTTTTTTAACAGATTGATAGAATAATCTTTTGTGTTTTTGAGGAAAGTAATAGAAGAATATATGAGGGATTATTGCCTTTATACTTTCCACCACCACCAGAAGGTAGCAATAATGATACTGATATATTGGGAAAACAAGAAAAAGAGAATGATGCTGGTACAGCAGAGAAACAAGAAGAGGGGAGTGAAGCTGATACAAGAAGAAATTAATTAAATCATGATCCACCAGTTAAGGAAAGGATTTAATTAGTGCCAATCTGAGCAAATTTTTTTAAATTTCATAGTTATAATAGTAAACCAATTTTTTGCATCCATAGAAAATCATGCATTTATTATGTTATATAAAAAAATTTTATATCAAACTATATTTACTTACAAAAACATGAGCTGTTAATTTTGTCAGTTTTCTGTTATTTAATGAGTGGTCCTGGATTGTGGGTATAAAATTCATACATTTAAATATATAAGATAATTAGAATGTGTCCCAGAAGAATGATATTATTAAATGTAAATTTATTTCTTTAATAACCACAATGGTAGCTATTGATTTTATTTATTTCTACTGTTTATTTATATCCAGAAAAAACCAACAGTAATTGTTACATATAATAATAGAGGGAAATTTATGATATTAATTTTAACAGGTTAATAAACTATCATGGATCAAAAGGTAGCAAAATAGCTATATTTAAAACAAGAATTATTGAGGCGTGTAAAGTTGGTGTCTGCAACTAAGAAATTGCAATTTGGGATGTTTCAATCTAGGTCGTGACTGGTTGCAGAATTTCAAATCAGTTGCAAATACCAACTTTAGAGGCATGGTAGATTTATTCTTATTATTAAACAATAAGCTGATTGTGTCACATGATTATAATATAAAGTTGCAAAAAAATAAGTTTGTTTATTTCTGCCAGTGATTACATAGGACCTACCTGATAATGAATGTTAAATCTGGGCATCCATATTTCTGGTAAATTTGTGATTATGATTTGAAACTATTGACTATTTTTTGGTAGGCTTATAAGAATTTGATCCAAGAACTTACAGTGACTTTTTAAATATTTAGAAATTCATATAGTCCCAAGATTTGCTAACTTATTGTTGAAATTCTTTATAATGGTTGTAATTTGATTTTATCATTTGAATCATCAAATTTGAAATGTTCATTATTAGAGAACTTGATTATGAAAAATTAAATGTCCCATTTAGTAATCTTAGTGATGATTAAGTATACCAGTTACAACTTTTGATGGTGGTTGCAACCTAATTGCAACCAAATTTTTAATTCCGGCAGATATCTTGATGGGGAATATTCTTTTTCATATTCTTCAAAAAAAAAAGACCTGTTACATATAACAATTACACAAGAGATTATAGGTTCTGAAGATTATATAAAATTCAATACTTCCAAAATAAAAAAAGGATCCTGGGCACCACCTTAAAACCTATTATTTTTACTAGCTATTTTTTAATAGTACAATAATATTATGTTAAAAACAGAAATAAATGAGATCCACTAACAATAAAGGCATTCATCATTCAAATGCTCAACCACACCCAATTACTATAGTCTTTAACATGTTGGTGCTTTGTGCTTTTTTCAATTGGTCTTTCTCATCACATTAATGCAAGGTGTCATTATTACTACATATGTAAACTTAATAAGTCAGCCAAAATTTTTACCCCATTTTCTTAATATTTAGGCAATTTAATTTGATAAGTCAGTTTACTCAATAAGTCAGCCATATGAGCTTACCCCCACATGACTGACTTATCGAGTTACATATGTATTACTGTTAAAGCCTTGAAAGATAGCACCCCTTTTTACAATATGATCGACAGTGTATAAATTTCAGTGTGTAACTAAGCAGATTTCTACAAATTTAGAAACTATCTGCAGAAAACTACTAATGTATGATGTTACACCTGCACATTTCGCACATTGAATTTTATACTTGTTCACATTGGAGGGATGTTTAAGCTATAGACTGTTATTCAGTATTGTAGTTCATCCTACTAACCAATTGGTGAGAAAATTTTATTGCCTGCATGGGTATTATGCTGTATGGGCTGGTCCTTAAAATGTATTTATTTAGTACCACACAGAGTTTCTTTGCATGATGGCCACACAAAAATGATAACTTTGCATATATATGTACTGATATTATATGTATTTTTCCATGATGTGTTTTTGATATAACTGAGAACTAATACATTATTTTTTTATTTTAGTTTGAAATTGCTTTTGAGGGGTCTGTAGTCTTCATGATCTTGGTGTCGTTAAAATGAATAGAGAGAAGCCTCTTAACTTAAATCAAATTAAGGATAATATAGAAAAGCTGAAAGCCAAACTTAATAGAGATACAACCCCACTCTATCAAGGGTTGTATTATAGTGTAGATAAGATATTTGTTGACGAATTATCCTGGAAAGATCCCTTGGCTAGCCAGGTTATTAGCGATAACTTGGATATTGTGGAGAAATTATCTGAAGGCTTAAAAAAAGGATTCATGGTACGCATAATCTTATGAGGTTCCGATTTTTTACATTTGCTATTAATGCTATATGATACTATTTATGGATTCTTTTTTTAGAAACTGGCTCATAATATGATGCCCGAACCCATACCAATGGTTAAAAAAATGTGTGGAGAATTTGTATCAAATTTCATTACCCGGGAGAACATTACAAGTTGGGATAAACTGAAGCATGATGGTAGATGGAAAGAACGAGAAGAAGATATCAAGCAGATAGTAAATGAAATTTTTAGTGGGTTGAAAGACGTTTGGAGTAACCCAGCATTTGAATCTGAATTTGCAAAATCATTAAATGAGGGGATATACCAATCTACCGTCATAGTGTTAGCAATTCAAGCTGGATTAAAAAATCCCCCTATGGGAAACTCTTTTTTATTAGTACCTCAGAGAAACAAAGTATCACTAGCGCTAATAGAAAAGGAGAAGGATATACCAGGAGATGACCAGATATGGGAGCTTTTCTAGCAAAAAAGGGTTTCGACCTCATATAACCAAAAAAAATTTTTCTACACAATATTGATCTATAACATAAAGATTATAATTGGCAAAAATATTAGACCCTGTTTGCTTAATAAAAAAAATGGAGAAT